TTTACGGGTTGTTGAGAGTTGCATATATTTTGGGAAATGAGTTATGAGCTTGAGATGTGGAGATGTTTTGGACTTTGGGATTTTTGTGTTTGAGTTTCGGTTTCTGAATTGTGAAACTGCATGCTAGAGCATTATTTTTACATGGTGGGGTTACTATGTTGTTTTAAAGTGAAACTTTATTTCTGTCCACTCACATCTTTCTGTTTTGCGCCCCCCAGACAGTAGTTGCTCCTGAAGGCATTCGAGCAAGTCACGAGCTCCGAACTTGTCGTCTGTTAATAGGGTCTGTATAAATTCTTTCTACTCCCCTGTTTGTTGTAAACAAATTCTGTAGACGCTCTGTTATTGCCCATGTTAGGCTACTACTTGAGGCCGGAGGCCATTTTGTGTTGGATTGTAGTTTGTAAAAGCATGCTGGCAGTTGGGTTGTACATTGATGTAAATTATGCAGGTTGTTTATTGTTGGGTTTGAGCACTTTACAGGGGAGACTCTGCCAAAATTTTGGTAGTATGTCTTGGGTTTTATTAAGTGGGCCCGGCATCGGTATGATGTCGGCAACAATACGGGGTCCGCCCCGGTTTCGGGGGAAATTCCGGGGCGGGTCCTGTCATAGAGTCCATTATAAAATTATTATTGTTATCATCATGGGAGAAAATACGTTATTGCGGAGTGCAGACACACACAACACTTCTTTTATATCCAAAGCCCATCCCGAAGATAATAAATTAGTTTTACCAATATGAGTGATGGCTAAATTAGAACCATTGCCAACAATAATAGTATCGGTACCTGCGCATGGCTGCACATTGGTGAGAAGAGGAGTTGGACGTCATATGGTGGGTCGCACTGGAATCAAGACACCAGTTGGTGGTATTTGGATCAAAAGAAGGTTGAGTGGCTGCTGCATGTGCTGCTGCATTTTCAGCAATGTAGGCATAATTTCCTCGATCAGGACAACCTGTGGAGGTGTGTCCAGGCTTGTTACATTGCTGGCAAATGACTGAAACTTGATAGGCAGTGTGTTGCGAAGGTGTTGGCAAAAGTGAATGACGATAATCATGGAGAGGTTGGCTTTGTTGATGATCAGATTGATAGCGGGAATTGCTCCTATTCCAATTTCCATTGTTGTGTGACTAGGTAGGATCACGGTTGTTGCGCCATCCACTATCACGATCCCAATGTCCACGACCGTTATTCCATATTCGGCCTCGCCCTCTACCTCTCCCATTATTGCGGTGATTATTGTTGCCATTGTACCTGTTGTTCGAGTTATTTGAGTGATCCTCTGTGACACGATCTGTGGCAAGAGCAACACCAGAAGACAAGGAAAGAGAGGCCATCCGTTTCTGCAGCTGTTCTTCCTGGTTTACTAGATCAAAAAATTCATCGAATGTAAGATTCGGCTGCAGATTGAGGTGAGAAACTCTTTGTATTCTTGACCAAGACTGTCCATAACATATACTCGAAAAAATCATTGTCTGACATGGTTGAGCCTGCTGCCATGATTGCGTCAAATGAGGATTTGGCATTGTTGGAATTGTAAGGGAAACAAAGTGATTTTATTCGATTTGGAGGAGAATAGTACTTAACTTTGTGTAGGTTAATTGGCCTTCTTAACATATTGGCTTATTGACCACCACACTTAATTTAGAATAGTTTGGACTATTTGGCCCTATACTTAGATTGGTGAGCTTATTGGCTCTCAACATAACTTTCTTTGAGTAGCTCTTGACTTCCTTTGTTTGGGAGTTCTTTTTGTTAGACTCCCCATAGATTGGAAGTTGGTAGGTAACTCCACTCCACCATTCATTGTGGTTGCATGCATATTTATAGGCTTGATCAACCGACATGCTTTGTTCCACCGACTTGGGAAGATAAACTCCAGCCACATATGTGTGGCTTTCTAGAATAATCTTCATGGTTGCATGTAGTTGCCGACTTTACTCCAGCCACAAGTGTGTGGCTTTCTTCTAGATAATTCTCCAATAGTTTAGGCTCATCTCAAAGCTTCTAGATTTCTCCACACATTTCTTTAACATAAATGTGCATTAATTTCAACAGGCATGAATAAGATAATCAGTAACCGGTTTTTCCGAGTCTCTTTTGAGAGTACGAATTTGGCCCCTCAAGGATCGCACATGGGTTTTGGAAAGAGGAGAGAGGTCTTTTCTCCAAATGTCCACGCTTCATATGAGCTCAAGCATGGAGTTAGGAGTGTCTTGACAGAGAGAGATGACGTTGCTTTGATCCAACTCATCACTAACTTGTCTTGTGAGTACACTTGATTGACGGAGCCATCAGACAACTTTTTCTCCAGCCGGGTTTCGAGGTTGACAATCTCATCAAGATTAGTTCGTTCGAGAACATCCTCAAATTGGGATTTCGAGGACGAATAATTTGTACGATCCATGGGAGTTGGGAAAATATGAGAAATATTGAAGGTGGTAGGGACAACAGAAGACAGAGATGTCATAGTTGAAGAGGTCAGGTTTGGTGAAGTTTGAGAAGGGATTGATGTAGAAGAAGAGATGGGAGCAGTTGCCATTGTGGATCGAGTTGAGCGCTAGCCCTTTTAGGGCTTTGATACCATGAACAATTTTAGATAGGATGGGTTGCTGGCAGAAAAGCTCGATGATTTTCATTCAATAAGGAGTTAAAATATACACAGGCTAAAGTTGACTTCTGCACGAGCCTAATTATGGTAAAAAATAACCTTAGGTTATCAATACGAAACAGATTACAATCATTCGAATGGAGGATGAATTGAATTGAAGAGGAGTTGGATTGAGGAGAATTAAATTTTGGAATCCTAATGAAGTTGTTTATTAAACCATATAGATTGAGGAGAGTTAGATTCCGAATTCCTATTGAAGTTGTTTACTAAATCATATGGAATTTGAATAGGAGTAGAACTAATTATTAAAATGTTCTCATTATTGAGTTATAGCATATGGTATATTTGAAATTTTAAAAATTGTGTGAGGATAAAATGGGCAAAAAAGATGAATTCATAATGGGTGAATTCTCTAGGAATTAGAATACCATTTTCCATTCAGAAATTGAATTCCTCCAAAATCAAGAATTCAATTTCGAATTTTATATGGGCCCCGCTTACTTTTCAATTTCTTGATGTGAAGTAAACATATGAATGCTCTATAGACGAAATTCAATTCCTGATGATAATTTCAATTTCTGATTAGTAAACACACTGATGATCTATCAATGCATGATTTGAGTGAGACACACTTAACAACGATAAGAACTTCCCTGTAACAGCGATGCCACTATCAGCAAACCAAGTAAGTGTCACAAACCAATAGAACGTCGACAGCTGCCAACTAATTTTATTACTAATTTCAAATATTTTAAAAAGGTGCTGCACCCATTTTCTCTTCTCTGTCCTCCGCGTCCCTCTCTCTCATCCATTAATGTTTCTCTTTCTTGACTTTAGTCACTCCATCATCATCATCATCCAGCATTCCTCTCTCTTTAATCAGTAATCCTTCATAAGCCACGCTTGGTATTGATCTCTTAGTTTTAATTTTAGCAAGTTACATTTAGAGATATTTAGTGATATATCCATTTTTAGCACTAATATTATAGATAAATCATACACTATTGAATTTCTAAATAAATAAATAAAAACCCAAAATAGCTGACCTTATTGAATTTAATATTGATTATTAAATTAATTTGATGCCCTATTGAAGGTTTTGGGTATTTTTATGAGATTTTGGGATTGGGCTTATTTTAAGAAATTCATGACAATTTTGTAATTTATAAAAAGTTAAAAACCTCTTTATTATGTTGTAAATGAATTTTGGGTGTATTTTTAAAATTCATTTCATATGATATATTTTTATCATTTGGATTCCTATATTGAGTATAATAGTAAATCTCCCTTATATTTATCGGAGAAATCTGGAAAATTTGTAAATGGTGGAGTTGATAAATATTGGGTTGGCTTCGATTTTGTTGAGGAACAGTATACGTTTTGGGGAAGAAAAATCTTCTCCGGCGTCACTCTCCCTCCTCCAGATCTCAGGAATCTCTTTCCTCTTTTTTTCTTCAAATTTTATTATCTATTGGGTAGTTTTGGAAGATTTGGAATGGTGAAGCTGAGAGAGCTTGAGTTCTGTCAGGGAACAGTGAAGGCACGGTTTTGGGGAGAAAAATCGCACCATGTATTGGTTTCTTCTCCAGATGTAAGGAATCTCTCCTGCCATTCCATTATCACAAAGTATTATCCTTCTTCACCTTCATTTATTAAGCTAAAAAAACAGAGAGAAATGAGTGTGGGTGTTGAAGGAGTGACTGAAGAGGAAGTGAAACACCAGAAATAGAAGAAGAACAGAGTTTTTTTAACGGACTGCAAGAGGAATGAGGGAGAGAGAGAGAAGGGGAATAACATGGGTAAAAATACTTTGTAAAATTTTAAATTGAAAAACAAATTGATTACGCAGGCTGAGTGATTGAAGAGAAAAAGAGGAATGAATATGCAGGGGCGTGTGGGTGACGATGATGGTGAGGAGTGATTGAAGAGAGAGATTAATGGATGAGAGAGAGAGAGAGAGATGCGGAAGAGAGAAGAGAAAGTGGGTTCAAAACATTATTTTAATATTTAAAATTGGAAGTAAAATTAGTTGCAAGCTATGGACATTTTATTGGCTTGGCATACTTACGTGTTTGCTTCCATGTGACAAGGAAGTTTTTCTCCTCAAGAACAATGGTTGTGGAGAAATTTATGCAGGGGCTGGATTATTCTCTTTATTATGTTTTCGGTTCAGATTATATTATGTATTATACCTAGTTTGCTACTCCCATAAATATTTCCGTATTATTGTGCAGGTGTATGCTGAGAATCGACCAGCTAAACACTATGTGAGTAATGTTGGTTCGATCCCCATAATCTATGATGGTTTGAATCAAAATCACATCTCAACTGGCACTGGCACTTCCCCAGTAGTTGAACCAATACTCACATTAGAGGATGCCTGAGTTGGTCTTTTATTTTGGCATGCACAATAAAATGGTGTGAACCAATACTACGACTATAAATATCACAGCATGTTGTATTCTATTTCTCGTGTTTGTAATTTGCAGCTTCACCGTCTTGATGTATTAATGCTATTCATAGTCTAAAATATCGATAATATCGATAATATCGATGAAATATTGAGGATATTATTGTTTTTCCGAATCACCGATATTTCTGAACGTATCCATACACATATTGTATAAATATAGATAATAATATCAAAGATAATATCTGAAAAATATCGATATCGATAATTTCGCTTACACTTCAGCAATATTTTCTCAAAATATCGCTATAATATTGAAAATATCGATGCAATGAAAAAAAAGAAAAAAAAAAAAAAAAGAGGTAAACAAAGGGTGAAAAAAGGGGGAAAAAAGGGAAAAAAACACAAAAAGGATTTGAACACCTCTCACTTTACTCCTCCAACATCTTAACCATTATATCACTTATATTTTTTTTGATAATACGCTAAAATATTTATATTTATATTGTTTTGTTTTGAATTCTTTTTGCAATAAGAATCAAATTTTTACATGAGAATGAATCTTTGACCTTTCCTTTGGGTGGCATGTTAACAATTACATGCAAAACTATTTTGGAGATTTATCATTTGATGACTACTCTTCACAATACACTTACTCTACACATAGAGATGATGAAGATAGTGAAAATTTTGAACCTTATAGGAACTCTATGTGGTATTAAATCACTCATGTATCTTACCATGCAATGTATAAAATGTAAAATTTTGTAATAAATTATTATATGTAAATGATTATGGTGTGTTTAATCTTTTTTCATTAATTGCTACGTATTTTCTATACTCACAATGTTTGCCAGCTCGCTATATAACCAATTTAAATAAGTTAATTACATCATGCAATGCATTTCCTTTCAATTTTTTAAGATAAACTAATAGATAATTGACTAAATAAACATCCTCCAAAGTTTCAATAAAAATTTTCAAGTTTTTGTTATAATTTCCAGGGTTTTTATTCAATTTTTATCGATATCGATAATATCCCAATATTTCAGTCGAAATTTTCGTGTTTTTGGACTACCAATATTTCTGATATCATCGATATTTTAGATCTTGATGTTATTTGAGGTTTAACCTCCTGTTTGGGCCTAATTTTGTGCATAACACCCTACTGAGAGCAGCCCCCTGGGGGCGAGCACGAACAAAATCATGTAGACGAACAGCAACACTAGAGCTTGTGAATTCTGGTTTGGGTGTTTGGCTATTCCATAGTTTGTCATTTCGAGCCTCCCAGATTGCCCGACCAGTAACAAAAAAGAGGTCCAAGTCGGCATAGGATAAATGGTCAATACGTGAGAGGACCCAATCATGCACATGGTGGTATTGTCGAGGGATACCACCGCTGCCAATTAAAGCACAGGCCCAGACCCCTCTTGCAAATGGGGCAATGCCATAACACATGCAGAGTACTCCATTTCAGCCCCACATAAGTCACAGCATGTATCCACATGTAACTTTCGTTTCCACAAGTTGTCCTTGGTTGGTAGAATGCTAGTGCACGCTCTCTACCAAAACAATTTGATTTTGCCTGGAATCTTTGCCTTCCAAAGAGCAGTCCACCCTTTACTAAAACCATTTCCATTTGATGATGACGCCACGGTACTAGGATCAAGAACCGTGCGGGCTACCTTGTAAGCACTTTTGACGGTGAACTGACCTTTTTTGTCAAAATGCAAGATAAGAGC